CTCCATTTTCTAAACTAGTAATTGTGTTCAATCATTCTCTAGCTTCTTAAGGTATTAGAAATTTAAGGTGGTTCTATGGTATCCAGGTTGTAGGTGTATTGGTCTAGAGGCAAAAGGAATCAAACTTGTGGGAGAAGTGATATCTTTTATTAGACCAACTAGATATTTGCAAACAAATTACAGTAACATTTCTGTTAACCAGCATCTTACAAGCCGGCATGCTTAATTAACCGGCATGCCGGCTTGTAAAATAAAATGAAATCACAAGTGTCCACTGCGGCACTTCCAGTTTCTCTGAGCCCCTACGGCCTGGGGCAAAGCAGCCTGTGCTGCCGAGCCCCCATGGGTTGGGGGCATAACAGGCCGCGTGGGGCTGTGTGGGGCCCGCCTTCCTGTCCCGTGGAGCCCACAGGAGGGGTGGCGATGACATGGGATGGGCGGAGGGACGCCCCAGATGCGGCGGGAGAAGTGGTGGCCTGGGCCGCTCAATTAACTGGCATATTTTGTTATCTGGCATCCCCCATTCCCGGGGGATGCCAGATAACAGAGCTTTTATGGTATTTTTGTTCTGTCACTTGAAACAGTCATTTTACCTGCTCTTGCTACAAGGTTTTTAACCTATGACTAACATCTCAGTAGTTGATGTAGAATACTGCCGTTCAATGTTAGGTGAAGTTGCTCTGAATACATTTAGATAATAAAGATTTAATGCGAGGGGAAATAATTAATCCTCTTTGCTGCTGTGGGACATGCTCCTGTTGTGGATAATTAAAGTTTAGTTAAGTGAGATTGTACTCTGTACCCAACGGGTAACTCCTTCATGCATGTGCATTTGCTGTTGGCCTTGTATGTTTGTTAGGTATATTATTTTCTTTATCATCTTAAGTTTGGGGTCAGGGGAGGGAAATACCACTATTTGTAAATATTAGAAAGTCACCTAGTAACCTATTTGAAAGCCACCTATATTTAGCGCTATCGCTGCAAGTGTTGACCTTCTTTACCGTTACTGTAGTCTTGAATAATGAAGCAGTTTTCTTTACTGTTTTGCAGCTCTGGCTATGGGCCTGTGTGTTGCAATGATAGCCTTTGTGCGCTTGCCCAGCCTCAAGGTTTCCTGTTTGCTGCTCTCGGGGTTACTAATTTATGATGTATTTTGGGTAAGTTTTCATTCGGGTTTAAAATTTCTGCTGTCTTCCACATTTAGAATTTATTCTTTCATTTTTGCCAGCTAAAAAAGGTCCAGGATACAGAACTGCAAAGATCTAGCAGTCAGAAGATGAGCCCCTCTTAGTCCAGTCTGAGCTTTGCTTGTTTGAAGTGCTTATGGTAGGCTGCAGAGTCCTTTGCTCAGTAACCATTTGATATGTACAGAACTGCAAAAAGAACATTTTACTTCTGGTATGCAGGGAAGGCATGGCCCTCACAAATTGCAAAATCATGGCTGCAGATTAGAATGAGCATACACAAAAGAGCAGAAGTAAAGCCTTATTTGTCCAAGGAAACTGACTTGTTGCTGACTACAGTCACCAGCAGTGGGTTTCTTAAACTGGGAATAAAAGCTGGTTAACTGCTTGCATGGATGAGAGAAACTCTTTTCAATGCACGCAGAAATCATGGCTGAGACTGACTGGAACACACTTTTTATAACAGTGAAAAAGGGTTTTGTCCTACCATGCTACTAGTTAAGTAGTTTCCGGCACTGGTTCAGGAAACCACTTGCCAACCAACCTGTCGGCAATGTACCGGTGTTTCCAGTGTACCTAAGGTTCAGTAGAGTAAGACAGTTTTTTAGACCAATTTTCAACATTCTGTTCATTAACAAAAGCATCTGCAAGTGAGTGAAGAAATTCCACATCTGTTCATGCCCCTAGTTTACTATATTCTTCTCTTTGTCCATACTATTACCTGCCTTTGTGATCCCTGCTGAGTCCTTGTTGCTCGTCTATAAAGATGTGAAGCCAGTAGTTTGGGTTAAATATCCTAGGGCAATGGTTTCCTATTCAAATTCTTGAGGACAACTGGACTTAAAAACCTTTTTATCTGAACTTTGAGTAGACTTTTTAATTTTTGTATCTTCCTGATCTACCAGCCATCCCATATGTGTTCTGTCTCTCTCCTTGAACAGAGCAGAAGTCAGAAAAGTAATTAAGAGGATATAATTTGTTTGTATTGCTTTATAGCTGTAATTGTTCTGCTTCTAATTATTTTCCTGCATCCTAGGTATTTTTTTCTGCCTACATCTTTAATAGCAATGTTATGGTGAAAGTGGCCACACAACCAGCTGATAATCCCCTTGATGTTTTATCCCGGAAGCTTCACCTGGGACCAAATGTAGGTAGAGATGTTCCCCGTCTGTCGCTACCTGGTAAACTTGTCTTTCCAAGGTAAGACTAACAGGTTTTATACTGTATTACAGAACAAATGAATTCCCTCAGTTTCTCTCAAAATGGGTGCTACTAAAAATAAATCCGTGTTATCTCCTGTTTGATGTCACTTCGCTTCAGTTAGTTGTCCCAGGTTTCCTGGGAATTAGATGTCTGCATTAGATTAGTGGTTCTATGATGGGTCTTTTATCACTGATATATTGGGTTATGCAGAGGAAGGGACAACCATAGTACTCCAGAGGAGAATAACCTGGCCAGAAAGAAAATTTCTTCCTGACCACTGTTGTTAGTGGTTGGTTTTTCTCAGTCTGAGGCTTTTTGACTACTTATTTAATGCAGCTGTAGACTTTTGTCTATTATACAAGTCTGTTCCTTTTTTTGTATCCCTTCACTGTTTGGCTTTGATATTTTGTCACTTACTTCCATATGGATACGTGTCAAGTTTTGTTTTTCAGTTCTGATTGTTCTCCTTCATTTTTTTTGTCAGTTTTGTTTTTTCATGTTATAGGAGATGATAAACAGCTTCCCACTCATTCCATATATAATATATTTTATATTCTTCTAGCTCTGCAAGGAGACGCAACAAAACAGCCCAACATTTCTGCACCTCATAAACCAATTTGTACTTTGTGGTTTAACAATGACACACCCCTCTCTCTCTCTCTCTCTCTCCTTACATTTGGTACCCTGAATTCTCAAATGTTAAAATCAGCTTTGCAAAGTCCATCTGAAGTTCTTAGTCATCTAGTTGTGTTGCTTAATAATTGTCATCAGCTAATGCTTTTTACTTATTGACTCATTCTCCAGTTTAGTAGCATAATGAATATATAGTCCTTCAATATGCATAAAATATTAACATTTTTATAATTTAAATCTGGAGCTACTAGTACTGTTGTTTTCGCCGTGTTGAAAGTAGGCTATACGTTTCTATCTTTTGTTGTTTTGGGGGTGGGGCTTGCATCTTAGCCAGTTTCAAGTCATCGCAGTGCTGCTTCTCTCTGTTTGGACTTGTTTATTTATTTAAAGACTTTTTTGAGATAATTAATCTTTTCAGAGTTCAGGTATCAGCTGCCTCCTTTTTATCCATTGTTATCAACAGGCCTAAATAGTTTTACTAAATGCAAAAGGCACAACTTTCCTTTACATGAGATGGGCTGGTTTATCCTTTGTGATCATTTTGTGTTCGTACAGTCCTTAATGATCATTTTTACGATCTTCTGAAGTGAAATCTTACTGGACTGTAATTCCAAGAATCTTTGCATTTATCTCCTTTAAAGTTTCACTTGCTTCTCCCTGGTCCTCCTGATACAGTAGAAAGCTGCGAAAATATGCACTTAACTTGCTTTTTGGACTCCATCAGAATTCTTGCCCTACTGCTCCGTGTGCTCCAGCACAGACTTTCTTAACGTCTTGGTCTTTGTGAGTCCGTTTGCTACCTTAAGTTTTATGGAGAAGCCTGGTGGAAAGAGATCATGTAGTTTCATTGCAGTGCCCTTGTAATTGTTTGCTCCTTTAACTAAACCTCTGTTGATTCAGCAGAGCTACCAAACCTCATGAGCTGCTGTTTTATATTTGACTCCCTGCCCTTCAGGATTTTTCATTAATTCTCTCATTTTTATCTTAAATTTAACCTTTCAGCTGGATTTCCATTTTCCTCAAGGGATACCTGTTTAGCTTGGAACAACATCACAAACCTTACTTTTTAATCATGTGGGTTTTTTTCTTGCCGTGGATGTTTTGCTTTGTTAGGGCTCTGTTTTACCTTCAAGCATGTACAGTCTCATGAAGGGACCTTGTTGTTTAGGTCAAGGTTTTTCTTGCTTACAGGTTAGAATTTAGTATAATGGAGAGAGTTCTGCCTAAAGGTTTAACATAACTGTATTATGGTCTTTATTATTTGATGCCACACCCACAGTTACTTCCTTAACCACCTCTTGTGTATAATTTAAGACTGGACTCTGAGTAGCTTCTTCTCTTGTGTTCTACCATTTGCTGTTTCAGGATGTAAACATTAAAGGTGCTTGAAAAATTGCTTATCTAGGCATGGTCCTAATATAATATGAAGTGAGCTTCTTGTCACTATAGATAGGTCATTGAAGACTCCTGCTTAGTGTGAGCTACCTTTGAAAAACGTAACAATATGTTAGGATGCATAAGGAACGAGAGTATAAATAATAAAATGAATGTCATGATGCCTTTAAATCAGTGCAGCCGCATTTGGAATATTGTGTGTACTGTTCGCATCATCCAAAAAGACATTGAGAGATTCTGAAGACAACATATGCTTTAGTAAGGGCACAAGCATTTATTTATATGAAGGGAGACAAAGGCAGGTGGGAGTGTTTAATTCAGTGCTGATGTGCATAGCTGCCTCGATACCATTAATGCTTTCATATGCAGTAGAAGCTGAAGTGCCATCATTTGGCACTTGAAGAGATCCTTACTGTCAGAAGTAAGAGTAAAAAGAACTCAAAGTACTTTGGTGGTGATGGGATCACCTGCACCTGTCTTAACAGCTGGCAGTTTGCCTCTGCCATAGAGACAAGTCATGCCAGCTGGAAGTTGGGGTGACTAAAGGAGCAGAGTGTGAAGGGAATGAGGGTCTAGAGCTAGTCATCCAGTGTCTCGGACATGCACCCAATCTGAACGGTTATCCAGTTCCACAGGCAGCCACTTCTCTATGCTGGGTATTGGAGACATCGTGATGCCAGGTCTTCTCCTCTGCTTTGTCCTGCGTTATGACAACTACAAAAAACAAGCCAACAGTGATACCTGCGGTACACCAGGGCCTGGAAACATCTCAGGACGTATGCAGAAAGTTTCCTACTTTCACTGCACTCTCATTGGATACTTTGTAGGTAAGGAAAAAACAACAGCTGCTCAGTGTACAAGAATGGGCCTGTTATGCTAGGTTACAAGATAATATGAACCCATTTGTGAATGGACTTTTAGGGAACATTTCCTGTCCTTCCCCTTCTTCCATCCAAATTTCACTGGGGCAACCTGGAGAAAAACTCCTTACCCCGTTCTTCTCATTGCAAATATATTAATGCAAGGGTGGAATATATTGTCAGGGTAATTTCTCTGGTATTTTGTGGAGATTCACTTCAGTACTGAGGAGGAGAGTTGTAGGGGTTATAGATTGCATGTTAAAATCTTGAGATGCATTGTGCTGGAAAAGAAGTTTGATAGTTCAGAACTCAGTGTTTGTACTTTTGTATGAACCTTTCTACAAAAAAAATCCTACATTTTTTCACTTGGTTGACATAGCAGTCCATCTCCCCTTCCCCTCTCCCCTAGTTAGATAGATTTGTCTCTAAGGCACAGTGTATGCATATAATTTAAAACTTCTGTGGCTTTCAGTGACAGAAAGAAAAGACTGCATGTAAAAAAAAAAAATGCACAAGTTCCTCCCCAGTCTCCTCCAGCAAGTGCTTGAGAGATTTGATTCCTAATGTGAGAACTTCCTATTTGACCTTTCATGCTTCTATCTATGGACTTCAGGTTGAATAACCTCAGTTGATATCAGCTGTCACAGTAGAAATTACACCAGTGCAATCTGACAGATTTCAACTGACATTTGTTTGTTTGAATTAATGTAATTAGTTTAACCCTTGAGAAGGTAAATCTTATGTTTAGTTTCAACAATGTCTCATTTTAAAAAGTAATTCTTTCACTTTTCTTTCATATCCAGGGAAAGTCATAGTGCCTTGTCCACTGCTAGTAGAAAAGCAAGTTAATTCTTCCCTTTTAACAGAGCTGGAAGATGGGATCCTAGTGTGGGTAGAAATGAGAATCTATGTACATCGCTAATGGAAACATATCACTCTTTTTATTCTTGCAGGTCTGTTAACTGCAACAGTGGCTTCCCGCATTCACCGGGCAGCACAGCCCGCCCTGCTCTATTTGGTACCATTTACCTTATTGCCACTCCTCACCATGGCCTATTTAAAGGTGAGATTAGTGTTAACATGGTCTGTCGGAAGTTCTGCCTCCTGCATGGGAGTATGTAGCAGTGGTGACATGGAAGCAAGTTCTTTCTACTTTTGCTCACTTCTCTGAGGGGGTGTGATAGTCTGTTTTACTCACTCTGATGTCAGTGATGGAAAACTGGATTCTCATTGCTATAGTCATGAAACATTGCTGCAGGGAACTGATTAATGAAGAGTTGATTTCCTGTCCAGGACATAAGATAAACTGTATTTTAAACTCTCAGTGAGTATAAATTAATCTGATTGCAGTGTAGTAAAGGGCATTCTGTTTTAAATTACCTGCTGCATAGTGGTGATTTCCCTGGGCCTGCTTGTCATGAGGAAGTGTGTATGCAAAGCTGTAACACCTGGAGGGTGGAGCAGATTCCTTTTGCACACCTCATGCCAGGTCAGCCAGCTGGGAACTTAAAAGCTCTTTGCTTCAGAGAGACTTGTTGAAATACAGACCTACAGCTCTGAGCACTGTGGCACTGGGCCTACCAGCTGAGGTATCTCTGATCAGAAGTACCTTTCAGGTAGAACAGGCCCCCAGATAAACAAGTCTTTACCCAACCTGGAAAGGATTTTCACTCTTACTGTATCAGAAGTGTAGTGTCTCCTAAAAGGTGAGAGCAGATTTACCTTAAGACAAGACACCTAAACACACAGGGCTTAAAGTCATTGAAGATCCTGGGCTGTTTGATAACTTCTGAATGAATTTGCTTTCTTGCCTCCCGTTCCAAAGGGCGATCTTCGTCGCATGTGGTCTGAACCCTTCCACTCCAAGACCAGCAGCTCCCGTTTCCTGGAAGTATGATGCAGCAGATAGAAAGTGACTGGAACTTCTGCCTTGGTCCTTTTCTCAACTTGAGCATTTATTGTCACCTAAAGCTGGACTGGTGCTGGGAAAGGTGCCAGTTTATGGAACTTGTATGAATGGACTTTATATTAAAAAAGGAAAAAACAAAAAAGCAAAGGTTTTGGAGCTCTATTTGATTCCTCTTATCCCTGCAGATGGGACCCTTTGTGTGACTGCAGCCACCTCCCTTTGCTCCTTCCCCTCTTACGGATCAGTACCAGACTGTTACCTTTGCAAGAGAGGAGACAAACTTTTAAACTGAAAACGATCTGAAGTTGTTCAGAAACTCGAGAACACTAAAAGGAAAAAATAGTTAAGCAAACTGAAGCTTCTTCAGAGAACCCTCATGTACATTGGGACCAGTTTCCTGTTGGACTTCAGTTTTGAAGAGAACTGAGACAGAAGCTCTTCTGTCACTATATGGATTTTTTGTTTTGTTTTTTGGGTTTTTTGATTTATTAAATATTTCCTGTGGTGTGAGGTGACTTATTAAATCCACAGACATTGAGTGACTTCTTGCAGTATACATATAAGAATTTGTTGTAACAAGTTACATTTCCACCCAGATGTCATGTTGCAGTGAACAAGGGCACGATTTTTATACATATATATATACACGCATATAGATATATATATGAATAAATAAAAAGGAAAAACCTGCTAAGATCATGCTACGTAGCAGACAGGGGCTTGCTGTAATTTTTAGCATGTAGAGCAGTTTAATATGGCTTTCTTGTATATGAACCTACAATAAGCAACTGTTTTCTCCCTTCTACAATTGAACCTGCAGTTAAAAAACAGTGTAGTATTTGTACCAATTGTACTCATGGACTCTAGGAGGTTATTTGATTTTGATCAATGTAGCAGACTAAGGAAGAAAAATGTTTAAGCCCCTTTCCTTACCCCTTTCTTTTTTCTTTTCTTTTCTTTTCTTTTCTTCTCTCTCTCTCTCTCTCTCTAATACAAACGTCTCACTTGCAGGTTTTTAATAGTTTTCTTGACCCAGTGCATGTATTATAGCAGCAATTGTCTTTGTGCTTTCTGATCATAGTAATGTACCACTTGTAAATACATTTTTTCTATTTTCTATTTTTTTTTGTATTTTTTGCACTTTGTTTCATTAGTGTGCTGTATTTTTCCAAGCCCTGGCTCCTTAAAAAAAAAAAAAAAAAGAAAAGAAAGAGAGAAAAAAACAAACCCTGTCCTTTGCTGTTGTGATTGGTCAAAGTTTGTGTGTTGACTGCTTTGTACCTAGGAGTCTGTTAAAATGTGAATTTTTCTAACCAAACAGTTCTGGTTATGTTATTTGACTGACTGACTGAAAGAGTAATTACTTCTAAGGTCCCTAGAATTTGCACCTCATGCCAACATTAAAGTGTTTTGATGAAACAATTCTGGGGCATGCACGTGTGAGCTTGTGGCTCCTGCTACTTGACACATGGATTTGGGGGGCTATACTGGTTGATATGAAGGGGAGAAGCATTATTTAAAAACAATATCTGATTTCCTTCTAGCCACTATAAGTAGTGATGTCATCCTGTTTGATAACAGGATCTCACTGTGAAGATGAGGAAATTTCTGCACAAGTCATGGTAAGTCATTCAACAAGCACTCGTTACGTGTTTTGCATGGGTATTATTTCTCTACAACTGTTTTCTTGTTTGGCTCTTCCCTCATCCTAGAAAATTAATTATATTGAAATTAAACAAACTCAAGTCCCAGATTCCCCTCCCTGCTGCATTCCTGAATGCTTTTAAGAGGTAGCTAATTCTGTGCTGTGTGTCAGCTGCTTCTAGTTTGACTTCTGTCTTGGTACAGATGGAACATGGTTATGGAATGGCAGATCTCATCTTCCTGCCTTTAAAATAAGGGTTTGAAGCTGAGCTAGTGCTACAGACTGGATAATAAGCACCTTCTTTTTTGACTCAAATATGCAGAAGGCTGGGCAGTTTTGTGTAAATTGTCACAGGGCTGGAAACATCTGTGTAAACAGCCTGTGATGATCATTTCTGGAATGAAGCAGAATCCTAACGTCATATTCAGAGAGCCATATTCACTCAAGAGCAGCCTAGAGGTTTGGAATTTATAGCTTAAAACGAGACGAGCTTTAAATCTCCTCTTTAATAAAAGTAAATTGGAAAATGAGAGCAAGGGCTTCAGAGCAAGTGACACTGAACTATAAACCTGAGAGTGTACCTCCTGCAGCAGCATGTGCCCTTCAATCTATCATAGCTGTGGCTAGTACCTCTGCTGAAAAATGCTTTGAAGAAAACTTAGAGCAGGGATATTTTCTGTTTGTAAAATAAGTTTCCCTGGATTGAATGAACTACATTTTTCTAATGTACACAGACATGGTTCAGACCACTGACAAGATTGTCAGAAGCAGCTTCACTCATAGCCCATTCCAATCTTCCATATACAGAAAATTGTGGAATTTTTCCATTACCAAGACAGAGATCTTTTTAAAAGGATTGTATGACAGCTGCAGAGACCTTGCAGTGAGCTCAAAGTAGGGTTTATTCCAGGTTAGGCAATGTTGCTTTCCTTCTTTGGTAAATCATCAGGAATCTGCAGTGGAGCCCTTGCAGATACCTGAGCGATGCAGTAGACTTGAGGTCATGACAGTCCTCCAAAGTGTTGATCTCTTTGTTGATAGCCATGCTTTTAAAAATACAAGAAAATAAATAACTACTTAAGCAAACACTTAATATCTAGCTCTGGCAGAAACCAGCATGTCTCAGGATATTTTGAATTAAAAAGAAATGCCACAGATTTCCTTTCTTCCTCACCCAAACAGTTGTAAGGAGGGGAAGAGTTGTCTGGCTCTGACATGGCATTTGGGTTTCCAAGCAAAGAAGCTGACTGATAACTTCAACACACAACAAAGACTCAGCAACACGAGGGAAGGAGTGTCTCCCTGACAACTGCTTTTGAAGGAGCTGCATTTCACTCGGAAACCTGATATTGGGGTAGAAGAGTAGTTTTTTCCTACAAGACTTCTTTTGTCTGGGAATAGCTCTGCTGAATTTCTTTGACTAGAAATCTGTATGCAGCAGTGAAAGCAGGTTTGACTGGCAACTGCTTGGAGGAGATGACTTCTGCTCCAAATCAAACCTTGCAGAGCCACACATTTGTTCCAGATGGATAGCCCCAGTTCAAAATGCACGTACAAACAGGTTATTAACGTTTTACTTTTTTCACCTCCCTCCAAAAGCAGTTGGGTCTTATGAGCTCTGCTAGAAGATGAGGACAAGAGACAGCTTATCATATCACTGGTGGTATGGGCTTGCTTCTGTTTGGTCCTGGCAAAAAGTAGCCAGCGCACAGTTTCCAAACCATTGGACTTCTAAGAATTGTCTTATTCCTACTCTTGATTAACCAGTGCTGGAGTGTGAATTCACTGGATCTTTAGCCTTGTGTATGAACTCACTGAGATGTTTGACTGGATTAAGATGACACTGAAGAATGGATGTGGTTAGTCACTAGCAACACCTTTTAAGACTTTAAGAACATTTAATAGGACTGAAAAGACTGGAGGATGAGTTTCCCTAACGCTTATGACTCTGTGCTGATACAATCCAACATCTGCATCTAATAGAAACTTTTCCTGTAATTGGCCATTGCCCAACATGCTCCTCGCTCCATCCTCTTAAGCCTGAGAGGATATTTGCTTTGCACTATAAATTTGTCTTCTCAGATACAGCATTTGTTCTGAATACTTCTGTTGGGATGAATGCACTGTGCAATCCCATTCTCAAAAACCTGTGTATTTCCTTAGGGGGAACAGGTACCCAAGTTTGCCCACCAAAACAATCATGTTCCAGAGTATTTGTTTGGTAATCTGTTACACACATCAGAGCCTTTTTTTGATTAGCCTTTTTTTTGTACTCCAGAGTTTGTTTTTTTTTTTGTTTTGTTTTTTGTTTTTTTAAATGAAACACCTTGTGGTTAAAATCTTAGGCCAGTTTGTTGCGATTTCTTAGTTGGTCTAATGAAAGGTATAATCTCTGAAACAAGTTCTAGAGTGTTGCATGAAGAAACAAAGGCACTTTAGCCTTGTATTGAAAAGTAAGTTTGATCATTAGCAGGATATTGTTGCCAGCCTTGTGGGCTTTGGGATACTGAATTCTTTGTCATCTCCAGGTAAAACTTCTTGTTCAGAACAAGTCTGTGGGATTGTCACCTGTAAGTATTCTTGTAACTCATGCTGTTGTACAGAAATGTATGTTTGTTCTGCTTCTACCTGTTGTTGACATCGACATTGGCTTTTGCAACATGCCCTGGTGATTTGTTGCTGAATACTGGTTGGTTATTCATGTGGACAGGAAAGAAGCATTTTTTAACTTCTTCAATAGCTTTGTGGAGGGAGGAATGGGGTGATCAGATCCAAGAGCACTTTTTTGTTTAGACCTTGAATTGTAGAGGGAATACATCAGAGTGAGGTAGCAGGAGGGGCCTAAGTGCTGCCTCCCAGCACCATACCTCTGTCCTATCTTTCTATGTAACTTGCTTGAGACTTACCATGCTGCTTCTGCAAGTTACAACCTGATGCAAAACCCATTGAATCAGTAGAAATTAGATGGATGTCTGTTGATTTAAATGGGCTCTGGACTGGGCCAGTTATCCTAAGCTTAGCAAAAATTGAGTGGTATAATATCATTGGTGTATCTTACTGTTGTTCCATGCATTATACCCATGACCTCTTAATTTATCATCTGGAGCATAACTGTATAAAGTAGGATAACTCCCTGGAAGTGTAATCAAGGAACTGCTGCTTCATTGAATCAAAAGGTTGCATTATTATTGCAGATTCTCCACACAGTTATTTTTTGCTTTGAAATGCTGACTTTTATTTGCACATAAGAAAGAAACTAAACAAGAGCCAAACAACATGAGAGTATCGTTGTTATTCCCATCGATAGTGTAATCATTCTCACTAGCCAGTCAGAATCAGGAACTAGCACTTTTCCTGTGGTTTGGGCTGTTTGAGGAAGATTACAACTACAACCCAGTTTTTAAACACATCATCTCATGTTACTGAAACTATATCCATGTGTCAGCTAAAATAACCAAGCTCCCTAACCAAGAACGCTATAAACAGCTGCTGAAGTCTATAACATGTAGGCAATGTTGTGTTTCAGACCAATTAAGTTCTTAGACTATTCGGAGTAAGCCGAGGTCCATAGAGCAGGGCTGTAAAAGGCATTACACTGGCATGTTTATCCTGTTTCTTGGGCCAGGGCTCATCGAATGTGCTGAGCCAGGCACAGGAAATGGGGACTTGTATACAACGTTCAGTTCAGCAAAGCGCATAATGTGGATCCTGCTCACTTGGCTCTGCAGACTTCTGGAGGAGACCTTAGTTCCTCCATTCTGGGGTTACATGGCAAATCTGTCTTTATTATCCTGCTGCTCTCAAAATCCATTTGTATTTGAGACCTGTACAAAGTGACTGTAGTAGAACCAGCTCCCTGGGGCTAACTGTGCTTCAGAGGGTGCATGCAGCAGCACAGTAACTGCTCTGTCAGACATACCCTGTGATACATGTGGCCCAGACCCCTCAACTACTGATGGGTAGTCCAGATTTTTACCTGTCACTGCTCAGTTTTTCCAGCACTTCTCTTCATCTGAATTTAATCTCTCTCTCAAGTGCGCTTGGCTTCCTCAGCCCCCCTCTGGTCTTTAATTCTGTAGTTAAAATGGAAGATGCTTCTGTGCATTTTTTCAGGAATAGCCTAATGAAGATGCAGTTTTTGTTACTGGAGAAAATTCAGAAGGGTGGCTTTGGCAATGACAAGTGCGAGGCAACTGGAAATAGTCCAGATCCTCAGCTTGATTGTTTTTTTTTTTTTTCCTTCCTGGCATTTTGAGCTCACTTCCAGGAAAGCCCATACAAGTGCTCTTTGTTACGCTCAGGAGAGGCCCTAAAAAGGCTGGTAAATAGACACTGAACAAGGATTAGTTCAGCATTCTAGAAAAACTCTCGTCATCCTCCCTTCTTTTCGGCTAAGCCCTGTCTCTGTACTGTGGCCTGTCTAACCTGCTTCTGACTTCACATGGCGAAGAGATGCGGTTATAATTGCACTGCTGCTGCTTCTAATTTTTAGCATCTGTTGTACTGAAATGGCCTCCTCTGTGGAGGCCGAGTACTGCTGAGAGTGAGCAGCAAAAACTGACCTGAAAAGTTATGTTTTCAGCCAGCTTGCAGAAGTATATGCGACTCCATGTGGCAGCCTGCGCTAGGAGCTCAACGCACAAGGATTGGTTACGCTGCTGCTGGACCTTGGACAGATTCACTGAAATGTAATTGCTCTGGATACAAAACAACTTTACTCACAGAGATGAGAGCATCTGTTCTAGGCTTTCAGGCTTAATAGCAGCAGCCTCTCTTCTGTGGTAACTGTGGGCCAGCCAGACCCTTCTGGGTTTATAGTAAAAACAGACCCTGTGTCCCACTTCCTTGTGCTACCAACCCTCTTCTCAGCAGTTCCTTTTGTCCTTGGCTCTTTGATCTAGCAGACTGTTGGCATCTCAGGCTGAGCATCAGACTAGTCTGCAAGCTGCTTTGGCTTCTCTGAATTTCCAGAGGTTATCCAGGGTCTAAGAGGTCCTACTATCATGTTTCCCCTCTTTTGTGTGTTTTTTTTTTTTTAAATTCAATTAAATGTATCAGCTGGTTGATTGCATGCTGTGGAATCCACAGCTGAAGTGCACTAATCAGTAAGAGAGACAAGCTTATTTTGTAGCAAAAACACTGCTGATTGGAGCTTGTTCCTAGCAGAGTTCCCTACAAAAGGTCACTGGTGTATGGTGGGACAAGCACCTACCAGAACTGGTAATGAATCTGAATTTGGTTGTGTGCTAATTGCTTTGTGATGCTTTTTGGGAAATGGCCTTGAACTGGAACATTTCTCATTCATGGCTCACCTGGAAGGCTGTTCCTCCTCGTCCTGACAGAATTTTGGGGTTCCATAAACACCTGCAGCTTATTTGAAGACACTGCACTCATTCACCTGAAGTGGCATCACAGAACAGTCTCTAATGCTGTGCCTTCCAGCCTTATTGAGTCTGAGTGAACCAAAAATAGGAAGACTCCATATTAGGTTGTACTTCTACAGGCCCCCGCTTGTACAAAAACTATCAGTTGGGATGTTCCAAGTACAACGAGCTTTAAGCAGTTAAGAGCCTGGATTTTAAACTCTCTTAAATAATGCTCTGTTTAAATATGTTTCCAACTGCTTGGACAGACAGCATGGACAGCATTCAAACTGTATTAGAAATGCAGGTTGGCCATTTCACCACCATACTGGCCAGTCATGTGTTGTTGAACAAATTCCTATGAGCTCTGGTTATATACTGTTTTCAAACTCAGTTACCAACACAGGCAAGAAGTTCGTGCCGTAGAGTTCAGGGGAGCAGCATGGCACTGGGTGCTGCGGTAGGGACAGCTGTGCATATTGTAAATTTAACTGGTTTTCTTTTTTCTCCAAGTGCTGCCCAACTCTCCTATCAACTGCCCAGAGATGGTTCATTAGCACTTTGTTCTCCTTGCACCCAGGGACAAGCATCTGTGAAAATACAGCCCTTCCTTGCATCTGTGCTACTGGCTGGCAGACTGCTTTCAGGTGTGCTGAGAGAAGGAAACAATCATCCAACAAGGCAGTGCCTGCAAACTGTCGAATCACCTGAGCTGCTTTGTGATCTCTTCCTCTGTGTACAGTAAAATGTTTAATGGGCCAGAGGTTTACTGGGTCACTAGCAGCCTGCTACTGCAGGAGTGTTCCCTATTGCCCATCTCTTGATCTTTAGTTCAGTCTAGCTGGAAATCACACTGAGGACTTCTTTTAATCACTTCCTGGTAAAGACTTGTCCAATAGCTGTTTGGGTCAGAAGTTTTTGAGCCCCTTTGCAATTTGTGTTGTGCGAAGTAATGAGAGGGCACTTGGTGCAGGGGGGAGCAAATGACTGCTGGTAGTTAAGGGACTCCCCTTATTGAGAAGGGGAAGACCTGGGTTCCTGTCCCTGCCCCAACAGGAGGGGTTGAGGGGGCCCACTTCAGCTGGATGTGCTCTTAAGAGATTCCTTAAAGGTTCAAATTCCCTCACTCAAAAGAAAAACTTGAACCTAGATCTCCCACTGAGCAATGGGGTAAAAATTGTGCTTTTCATATAAGGTAGAAGGCAGGGCTTTTGTAAGGAACCACCTCCTTTGTCAGGTGCTACAAATAGACCTGCAAGGAGCAGGGTTCTACACAGAAAGCATTATTACCCCTCTCTCTTCATACAGGCTGTTAGACGTGGTATGAGGCCACCTCCCAAGTAAAATAGGTAGTGCATAGTTCTGCTTAAAGAAGATGGATCTTTCTCCTCCCATCTTTTCTGTTCTTGATCTGTCTTCACTGCTCAGTTAGCTGCAACTGGTAGTTAGGTAATGGATCTCATTCACTTCCTACCTACACGTGAAGCCTCCTCTCTTGCAAGTTTAGTGATGTTTTCATGGCATGTCCTCTTTGCAGTGAGGCTACAAGCTAAATGATGGAAGTGCTGAAGGTCCTTCAGTGCTTTCACACACAATTCACATACTTCTGGGAGGAGACTCATTCTTTCCAGGTCTTTTTCAGTGAATTGTGGCTCAGATAGTATGACCCAAGGAACATTGGGATAGACCCCTGGGTGTTGTAGTGTCACTGGGTGTGGGGGTGTGCAGCCACTAGCAAGGGCACTCCAACCCAGGCATGGCTCTGCCCTGTAGCTCTTTGCATGCAACTGGGTTAGTCTGCAGTAAAGTCTCTAAGTGAAATAGGAAAGGCCTGAGTTTGGTGGTTTGTTTGTTTGAGTAAGGAATACTTCTACATTAGGTGTGATGAACCAGAATGCCTTGGCTCTCCTTTTGCCTGTGTTGAGTTCAGCTAAACTCAGGTGAATAGAGACCACTGCTAGGCTTGTGTGTGCGCTTTTCCAAAAAACCACGGGAGAGTTATGGTGCAAAATCTCCCAGTTGAAGGCTTAAAATGGGCAGGTCCCTGCATGTAGTCATAGAGGATGAGGGCAAAGTTTCAGCCATGTTTCCTCACTGAGGTTAAAGGACTCCCTTAAATGTTCCAAGGAGTTCTCCAAGTACATGTGAGGCCAGAACACAGCCATTGCCATCCTGCCCAGCTCTCCCTGCCCTACAACAAGAAAGGCTCCAAGAGTTCTCCTCACTCTTCTGGTCTCCCTGGTTGCTCCCCTCGTTCCCAGTGCTCTGCCTAGGATCTCATTTCCTGTTCACTTCTAGTTTCATGGGGCAAAAAGCCAAGCCCTGTAAAACAGAATGGAAAGTGTGGCTTTGCCTTTCTTCCCCCGCCCCCCAGCATAATCTGACCATGACCCGATTTCCCCTTTTCTGGGCCCCAGCTTTTGGGATTTGGTTCAGCTCAAACAGACAAATACAAACGTGACTTCACCCTTAAGCAGCGCCTTTCTGCAAAAGGCCTGGCCCTGCCTACATGTATTGCAGGCAGATTTGTGCTCCTGGGGGAAAGGTGGTTTTCTCAAAATACCCTTCCTCATGTTGCAAAACTTGTTTGTGCTTTGCTCATGCAGCAGCTTTTTTGGTTGCAAACTGTAAGGAGCAGGCTGGGACATAGCTAATTCAATCCAACAGCAGAGGGAACGGAGGTGTGGTGGCAGCTTGCTCCTGTCAGCTCCTTGCCTTGGGTGCTGTGACAGGCTTTGAGTGCAATTGTTGTCATCTTTCACATACCCCTGAGCATGTTCAGTTGGCCAGCTTACTGCTTGGAACAGCAGTGTTGTAAGAGTTTAAGATGCACTGATCCCAGGGCCTAACTATGACTGCAATTAGGGAATTTACTGCAATTTATCCACCATCATCTTCCCACTCTTTGTAAGATTTTTGCTTTAGGTAGTGAGAGGGAAGCATGGGTGGAATATTTTAAGTATTCATTGTCTCAAGCCTGTTTATGGCCCGAGTGACTGGAGAGACTGTACTACATGGTAGGTTAGTAAGGAAGCTGTGGGCTCGGTGCAGCACACCAACAGCTAAAGCTTAGGTAATTTGATTGGACTGCTATGCAGTACCCAGTGGTGGAGGAACAGGTAGTTGCTCAAATAGCAACTACAGCCGAATCCTTAAGCTGTAACATCTGATGTCAGAGCTAGGGTGAGGCCTGTTCTGATGCCATCTTTGGTAACCTCTCAGAAGGAGCAGGGTAGCAATAATGAGCACATGCTAATGATGAGTGTTATGATCAAGCCACTGGTGACTAAGAGTGTAAGGCATCGTGCCCTCCCAATGGCATCAGCAGTAATGCATGTTAGACCTCCCTGCTGGTATTTGCTTTTGCCTACAGAGACCCAAGTGACAAGAGCTGAGAACTTTGACCTTGCACTGCTTTATTCTGCATCAGAAATGGTAAGCAAGGAGCTGCAACTGTTTAGGGAATGCTCTCAGGGTAACAGCTAGCCCCAGCACCATGCAGTTGTTTCAGAATTGCTATATTGCAACGGGATCTTTGGCTCTTAGAGGAGGCTGTATTCCAGTTTATTTGTCACATTTGAATGGCAGGCAGTAACTTGAGCAGTGGTATCTGCATGAATCTGAAGTCAGACAGGAGGTATGGCAGGATGACACCTTAGGGAAAAACTAGTTCAGAGAGGCAGGAGCTTTTACAGGCAACAACCTACTTTGTCAGATGCTAAGAAACTTTGTCATTGCCTTGGACAAAGTAGGTTGTTGCCTGTAGAAGCTCCTGCCTCTCTGAACTAGTTAATTTTAAGGTGCTGCCCTTTCTGCAAGGCAATAACATATGAGCATGTAGGACTTAAGCACATCCTGTCAGCATCATGGGCACCTTAGCTTGTAACAGCAAACTTAAGAAAAAAAGATCTTTGTTTCAGTGACTGGTGTTTCATATGACCACAGTGAGCTGGTAAAGTCTGAACTTCTTAAAACTCTTTGTGAATCATTTGGAAGAGGGTGGGGAGCTGAGCTGTATGGTGAAGTATGGATGATACTAAATTTGTCAGTGTTGAACACAAGGCCTGTGAGGAGCCTCGAGAGGTTAGAAATGCAGACAGGAACCAAAATGAATCTATTTTGGAAGACAGCCAGCAATGATTCTGGAGGAAAACACCCTGAAGAGGAAACTTGGATGGGAGAGGGGAACTTGTGGGAGTGTTGGAAGGAAACGAACTGGGAGGAGAATGGAGAGCAAATCACTGTGGGGTTCAAAGCAAGTCAGTATCAAATAGTGGGACAACTAGATCCTTTCGGTGACTTCATCTGCAATACTTTGTCCAGTTCAGGGCACTTCAGTGCCAGAGGTCAACGAGAAATGTGGGTCCTAGAACTTGAAACATTTTCCCATGTGCTTGTAAGCTTGGGTTGGGGTGATTTAATTTTACTTGTTGTTCCTGCCCCCTTTCTCTCTAAATTCCAGGTTAGAGGAAACTGGTCAGCTGCACACAGTAAGTCTGACTCTGTGACATCCTTTATGATACGACTTGCAGTTTCCCTTTAACAGGCTTTGAATATCTGGTTGCTGCCCCTGTGCCGAGCAAATATGCAGCCCTTGTGGTCTTGGCTCACTGGATCAAGTTGTCCTTAGTTCTGTGGGTTTTTTGACCAGAAACACCAGGCCTGTTCCCTTGGCTGCCTGAATAAGCTTCCTAACACTGCTTACTTGGCACTTGATTTCAAACCTCACAAGATTTGTCCCCCTAGCACTTAGGTGCCCTCTAGTGGGATCCAGGTAAAATTAACACAGTACGGTAGTGAAATCTCAGGGCGTTACAATCTGCTCTACACATGCCAGGGACAGAGGCCAGTTTGGGGAGCACATTCTGATTTGTTATATCGAAGGCAAACTTGCAGTTGCTGATTCCTGAGTTGTGTGTGTGTGTACTGGTGACCCAGCTGAGAGGTTTGGCCTTTGCATTGTGGGGCTAGGATAGGGTTGCTTCCCTGTAAACTGACAGGCCTGAGAGCTTTCGGCTTTTGTTCCTTTCTCCTAAGTGGAATGCAGAACTGAACTTCTAGAAAAAGAAAACTGCCTGCAGAATTTGCTAACAACTGGCATGCTTAAATAGTCTTTAAACTACACAATTACTGAAGCTCTTTTTCAATTGAGCTGAGCTGCCACTAGTTCAGGTCCAGCCCTGACATACTCAGTGCCAGGATTTCTAGCAGGGTGGAGACTTGATATTTTTTCTGTTTATTCTGCCACTTACCCTTTGTGCAGATACTTTCTTGGTGCAGAGGAAGAATACATGTCCCCGAAGCCAGGAGGTATCTGGCCCAACTGCTGTCACCCTTCCTCTCCACAAAGGAGGGAGCCAAGTCGCATGAGTCAGATCACTAGAGTAACAAGGTAAAAGCACCTTAAATCTAAGGGTTGTGTGCACTTACTGCAACGAGGACCATAGTGTGGGAAACCCAGCACTGCAGCAGTGGCTCATTACCCACCTTCATGAGATGGCACGTGGACTCTGCCAGCCTTGCATCTTAGGGTGGCTGCAAATTGTTGCATTATAATGTGGATCAAATAAAGGAGGTGGGAGGGGCTGAATATTTTGTTGTGTAGCTGTCTGTTCCCCTTCAGCAGCAGGAAGATTTATCCTGTGGCTAGTAGGAACTTTGGAGTGATGGAAAAGGGCAGTAAAATCCTGAACTTGTGCTGGGCTGCAGATTAGATGAACCTTCAGGTCCCTTCAACCCCTATGATTGTGCTGCTCAACCTATTGTCTTAGGTCATTCATGTGTGGACACCTACTAATAGCCAAGTGGTTTCAGCATCTCACCTAGCTTGTGCCTTCCCCTACCCCTCTCCAGCAACCTTTAAATATACAGGTGCTTTAGAAGAGAGGCAGATCTAAGGTTTATGGGCAGCTGGTATAAAAAGCACCAGTCTCAGCTCCCCATATACCATGAAGGACAGCCAATAACCCATGTGGCAAGTGCAGAGCAATAAATAGAGCTCTGATTTAAAAGCAACAACTGGATGGATTTGAGTCTGTGTAGTGAGACTGTATATCCTTCTTCTGTTAGAAATACAAGGGGCCCAATTCCATTTCACCTACTGGGCATCTAAGTGGACTTAAACAGCACTGGAAATAGAATGGCACTCAAGTTCCTAAGAATTACCACGCTTATGTTTGTAACACACTGGCACCTCACCCTTAAGACCAAGTCGGAGAAAAGCAGTCAGGGAGAGGAAGACCCACCCACCCTTTGTAGTAACAGTTCTTCAGAGTCTTAAGCGGGGTGGACTAGACTCTGTCCCAAGTGGAGTGGGAAGAGATTAGTATCAAGTCAAGCAGTGGCTCTCTCAGGTCCAAAAGCCAGGACATCTGTTCCATTTTCCATGGCTTTGAGTTTTAATGTCTCCAGTGCTTCCTGTACACACTGCCTCTGCTACTTGAATATGTGACTGCTGTCAGGTAGGCCTCCCCTCAACATACCATGTTTAACCCATCCTGGTTTTTAGAAATGAAGACAAATGTGTACTCTTCAGATGGAAGTCTGCAGACACATCTTTGCTGCCATTAGTAATGGAAATACTACAGATGCAGGCAAAATAATGAGCTCTTACACAGCAAGATTCAACATGTGCAATTCATTAAAAACCACCATGAAGAGGTAGTGCAACAATCAGTCTAGGGTAGTACAAATGGACCTTACTCTCAGTTGGTACCCATGACCCCAATGTAAGTAACCTTTAAGGAAGTTCCCTTTGTGCTGCATTCCTACTGTCAGAGCAAAAATCTACAAGAACAGAACACGCTACCTCTCCCATTTGGACTTTTCACATTAGCTAGTAATTAACCCCATCATTTCAGTTTAGCTTTGTCATTGGCACCAGGTGAGGACAAATTACCTTCAAGTGATGTGACAGGTATAGGAAAGGCTAATAAATGCAACCAGTTATTCAGAGATCAGAATCAGAGCCATCCTTAGCAAAATTAGATATGATGGTAAACTGTGTGCGAGTCTGAGGTAGTGGCAGCATCTAACACCAGCTGGTGAGTGCCTTGGTCAAAGCAAACACTCCCTTTTAAGAGCCCTGAACCCTCTTTTACTCTGAAGGCAAGCTTGGTGGTAGAGCCGTTCATTTGTCACATTTATAAACCCAGAAGACATGAAATTTTTTTGACAAATTGTGTGTTGGCCAATCCCTTCCCCATAGAGAATCAGCCTGTTTACCAAAATGATTGGTGGACAGATGAAGGCATTTTCACGTTCTCTCCTCCTCCCTTCTGCACACCGGTTATTAGGCACTTAGACTGGATTCTTCTCCAACTAGCTGCTTTAGCTCCGGTACTCCCTCAGCAGCTGACCTGCTATCACCAGTCTCTGGATCTCACTGGTTCCCTCATAGATCTCTGTGATTCGAGCATCACGGTAGTGCCGCTCTGCTGGCATTTCTGTCACGTAGCCCATCCCGCCTAGAATCTGGATAGCCTGAAACAGGCGGCAAGTCACAAAAAGAAGGTCAGTCAGAGGAATGGGACAGTCATCCCAGAAACCCTGTGTGTTCCCTTTGCCTCACATGGGGCTGCCACCATCATCCAGCCTCCGTTGCTGAATGACCAAACAGCACATGGGAGGCAGCAGTACTTGCAAGGAACCCCCTTTCTCTAGGATCTTGATTTCACTAGCCATCAGAGCTCACCCAGCAAGACAGAAGACCAGGGACAGGATGAGGTGCAGCTCCTGCTGCACAAAGGGCACACCCTGGTGTTACCACTTGCCCCTTCTGTAGTTTCAGTGGGAGCCACTGTCAGCAGTTAGGTGCTGAGTGGAACAAGTGTTACTGACTTAAAAATACTTGAATAAGCAGTGGCATCTTTAGTCCTCCCCAGCAGTGACCCTGCTTGTGCCTCCAGCTCTCCCCAGGCCCTGCTGTCTGTAGCCTGAAGCAGTGGACAGAATAATACAGTACTGCTGAATGGTTGTAAGCGCCAAAGCTAGAGAGTTCCTTGGGTAGCATGTGAGCTACATACACCCCCACCAGTATCATTACCGTTCTAGGTCAGACAAGGACGGACACAACTGAACACTTGTCACCCCTGCTCTAACCTTTCTGTCTTCTGACAGGAGAGGAGCCCTTCCCCCAACCCCTACTGGCCTGTGATTTGGGGTGGGGAAGAAAAGGGGGGGGGTGCAGGGGAGAAAGAGGAGAGGAGTGGTAAAGAGTTCTCTAGATAATTACCTGATGGGAAATGGCAGTTGCAGCCTCTGATGCAGCCAGCTTGGCCATTGCAGCTTCCTAAAACACACACGCACGCACACACAATGCATGTTGTTAAAGCTGCATGTCTGGGCGAGGGGACCAGCAGTCAATGTTCCAGGGGATGCTGAACTTGGTGAATGTGCCCAAGGCAGAGGCATAGAGTTGTGTGGATTCTAAGCTACAATTTCAGCCTCCATGGATAAATCATCCCTCACCTTCTGAGAAAGATCTGCAGCTGTGGGAAAACTGGCCGTAACCAGAGAGAGCAAGGTGGGGCCTGGCGAGAGAGGAAGCCAAACAATGCTCTTTACCTAGCATGCATCTCCTGTCTAGGCTGCCTTATACACCAGAGCTGCTTATCACTATGGGGTACTGCATGGAACACAAAGCAATGTCATACCACATCAGGCCAATGGTCTGCTTTGGTCTGCATCCCACATCTCTGTGGCTGGCACTCGAGGGTTTAAAGGAAGCTGTGAAGAATTATTTGGATGAGTTATGTACTAATAATGTCCAACAAATGTTTCCTCCTCACACTAGGCAGGAAATGGGTTCATATCCAATTCTTGTAGCAGTGCTGTTCTTAACCAGTGAATCATTTTTGAAGGTTGTACCCTCAGTGATATGTTTTTAGCAGTATGTTTTTCAGATTAAAGAGAAACGGTCCATTTTAAAGTAGGAAATGGTATATACATGTATGTATGTTTTTTTGGGAGTGTCTTGTTTACTATCGTTGCTGTTAGCCTGGAAGGGAAAACATCCCTTGCTTCATGTAGTTGAGGCACTGGACAGCCTTTGGTTGGTCTGTTCTCTCTGCTTGTTGGGAT